AGGCATCCAATACTCTTAAAGACAGTACCCTAATTAGCAGAAAGACAGGACTTATGATTACAGCTGGCTGCAGGATAACCTTGCTAATGACAGTGATAAAGTTAATGGCAAGATACAAATAATGGAAGGAGGATGTCAACTAGACTGTGTGATGGTTCTGCCTCCTGTTGGTGAAGATCACCTTATCTGATGAGCTGGTGCTGGAGATTCCACCTGCCTCTGTGGGTGAAGAAGAGAAGCCTCTACAATAAAGGTATTACTTTGAAAGTTTCAGCTACACTACACTGAAGTTGAAATGGCAGAGGAAAGCAGCAGCTCCTCAAAATATGTTTCTTCAGAGATGCCTCTCTCATTAATGTGGTATTGGGAGTTTTTCCCAGCACCAAAGTGCAAATGACAGGACTTGAAGAGGTCTTCCCAGGTCTTTCAATTGCATGCAATTTTTCACCTTAAATTTGGATGTTTTTCTTTATCAGAAAAATAGATGAAGCATTTGGGGGCAAGTACCTCCACAAGGCAGGAAGAATCCCCCACACCCAAGCTGGAGCGTGGAACCCAGTGTCCCTCAGCACGCACAACTCCAGGAACTGTCAGGGCGTTGCACTGACGTCCTGAACGGCAATTCCAAAGACAACTTGCTGTGGAGCTGATGAAACACAGCAGCGGGGTGCCCTAGCTTAACAGAGCAATTTAAAGGAGCTGAAATGGCACTGGGTGTGCTCCCGCCCTGCATTCCACATACCTCTAGAGAAAAAGGGAACAAATACTCTTAGTCCTGACTAATACTGTATATGCATGCTTGGACTGCTACGTGAAGATGAAAATCCCTGTTTCTGATATGGAGGAGGGTCTGTGAAATGGGACAGGTATGTGGACTGGTTAGTAGTAATATGCTTTAGCATCCATTAGGGTAAATCTGTGGTGTGACTAATGGCCTGCTGAATTAAACTGAGATGACCTCAACAGACTGAGAAAAGTAAGTAAAAAAAGACGGTAGGGATTGTATCTGCCAGTGGTAATGAAGGCACTCCATCACCATTTGATAAGAGATTTAAAAATGTGCAGATGTATATACACACATATCTGACCAAGAAAATACTAGATTTAACTATTTTTTGTTATGAACCTGGTAATAGTTGTCTATGCTTTAGGGACTGTAATTTCGTTTCCTGACTTGGAAAAAGACACCTGTAACTTAGGCTAGGGATTTATTTATTTATTTTGTTGCTGTCTTGATTTGTTTAAATAGATGTATTTTTAAAGAAACTCTGTACTTATTCGTGTGTAGTAGTCACAACAGATAGCACTTAGGGACACCTCAGTCCTATTTTCTGCCATCACACTACAGGGTTAATTGTTGAGATCAAAGCTATCTTCTGGTGGTTCTGCCCCACCTGAATGATCCACAGCTGCTGTGTGCCTCATTTAGGTGGGAGGTTGAACTGACCTTAAGGCTAATGGAGCAGGGTATTTGAAAGGTTCTTGTTTATGTGACCCAATACATATTGTTTCAAGGGTTGTGTAAATACTGAGATGCATCAGCTATCCTAGACAGATTTATATGCAAACTGCCTCCTTCCTGAAGCACTGAAAGAGCTGTAGCTACAAGTGATTAAAAAATTATCTCCTTGTCAGGTCAATTAGAAAGGAAAAATAAGACAGAGGGCCACATTAGGCTTTTTTTAAAAGCTCAGTTAAAGAATTAACATACAGATCTTGTTGGCGATTACAGGTCACCCACAACCCCCGCATTTCCAGTCAGTAAAAGAGTTTATACTGAACTTCTAATTTCCTTATATGAAAATGGACCACAAGGAAGACAGAACACAGGATCTGGCACTGTCTCACAAAACAGAAAAGAAAATGGTATAAAGTGCCAGGAAATGGCTTAGAAAGATAACCTGCATCAAAGAGGTACTCAGGCATGTAATGGAGGTAAGGAAGCTGGCCAGCCTTTCTTCTGCATTGGCTCTTTTCAGTCTGTTTACTGAAGAAGTCTCACAGTAGTCTTCCTTTCCATATGCCCTTAAAAGTACAGATTCAAATATTCAACATAGGAAAATTCTTATCTTTTATTTTGGGAGATAAATGTGTTTAAAGAATGAATAAATCACCTTTCAATGTACACTGTTAACAGTTTCGTTATTTTTACATGTAGTTTTCAAGTGAGCATCACTTAGTAGCTCTGTAAGCACCTGTATTCATGAGATATGAACATTGACAATTTCCATATATTCTGCTTTGACAAGACAGGGTCAAGTACTTCTGTAGGATCAGTTCATTTTTTATCACTTCCTAGAACTCAAAATATGTTTTTTCAAATATTGCTGTTTAAAAAAAATCTAGAAGTTAAAAAAAAGAAAAATCTTAAGTACATACAAAGAAAAGCACTCCTGTCCTGAAGAGCATCCGACATCACACACACTACTGATGTCAACCAACTGACACAAACCTAAACGAAAACAAATCCTGCGCATATAAAAATTTCACCAATTGTCCAATTAAAACATTCTTTCCAGAATCAAAGCATATGAAGACTCAAGAAAATGTGAGAAGAATAAAACAAAATAAAAATCCAATCAACAAACCCCCCATTTTTTTTCTAAAGGTAGTCAGTTATCAAGTTAAAAACAACTTTCAGCATTTGTCAAGTATCTTTATTCCTTTTATTTTAAATAAAAATATGATTGATTTTATTGCAAACACATACTAGCTTTTACTATCGTACACCATCACCAAGACTCACCTTTTTAGTGCAGAGTTGCTCTTATATATAGCGGATGTGCCTAAAGCTAGCTAAGCGATTTTTCTAACACTGCTCAACTGATAGATGTTGATTATGTGAACATATAAGTAACTGATACACTTTAATATTAAAGAAAGAAGAAGAAGGCGCAAAAATCTCACTTCCAGCATTTTAACAATAAATTAGCAAAATCTGACTTCCCCATCAGATGCAACATAGAGTGTCCTTGATAAAGCCTCAAAATAATGATGCACACTGGAAGAGAGTCTGGATGCAAGATGCAAGTAATTAGGTAGGGATAAATTCACCCTTCCATTCTATACTTCACCTGAGCATCAACATTCTCTATTTTCTTATGAATAATTGATTATCATCTTTATCAAGCTCCTGCAAGTACACTGCATTACAGCAGAGCAAAGCAGATCGTGAGACACTGAAAGATGCCACGTTCCAGTGGCACAAAATTAGTCTCCAAAACTCTTTTCCTTGAGGACCTTGAGATTTGCCTATTCAAATGCAGCACCAAGGCCACCTGTTCAATTATTTTCTTCCCAAACCAGCCTTCTAGAATACCGGGATTATTCTGTATTGATTTCTTGGAATTCAGACTGCTGCATCTATACTAAAGACAATACTTTTTAAAGTACACATGCAAACAATTTACTCTATTTCTGTACCACCAACTGATATATATATGTATTTAAAAAAATGTAATACGTACAATTTCCATATATGTATGTATGAGTGTGCACACAGATAAACATTTACGAGACTGGCCACAAATATCTGTTATATGGATCATGAATCATAACACTGAAATGCTACAGTTTCCCCTTATAGATTTTATTCAAAAAGTAAACTATTTATTGTGTCAACTACAATCAAAGCTTATTGTTACACGCATGTATTACAACTTCCAACTTTCTCCTCTGAATTATAAGCCTTGTTTGTATTATCTGTGTATTCACAATAAAATCGCTGTCTTCCACGTTGGTGGCAATGACTGATGTAAAAGGAGTGCTTTCAGTCTATAATTAATAATCATCTAAGTCAGTAAACAGATGCAAAAGTTAAAAGATCAGCATGCAGATAATATTGTCACCAAGCTATTTCTTAATACTACCAAAGAGATTTACTGGGTCACTTACTCCTTTGTGGCATTTCAATAAAACAGGTCCCCTACCAGTACCGCATCTTAAATGTAACATGCCGTATCAAGATTGATACATGTACACACATTTGAAAAGTTGTGCCTTCGTAACCCTTTGCACAGGAGTGTTCTGTGCTAGAGCAAAGAGGATTCAGACCCCCACATTCAAACCCTAGCTCAAACTGCACAGCAGCATTTGGCAGATGGAACGGCTATACGAATATTCATATCATGTTCTACAAACATGATTTCTAGGCACAATCTAAACCATACAGTTATAAGGATCACATTGTGCATGGGTAGTGATGAGGAGCCTCACCTACTGCTTGGCCCATAGTCTTAAGAAAACAGCTTTATAGCCACGAAGTCCAGTGGGGAGATCTATACGCAACAGAGTTGAATGAGGCAAACCCCTGCTTTTAAAACATGCAGTTCACTATTAAAACAGTATAACCACCTAAAACAAGTATCATAACCTACAAATATAAACCATACATTCATTCCTCCTAGACTCCTAGATATATATGCTGCACACATAGCTTTGCTAACTTAAAATCAAATTCTTACCTGTACATAAAATCATTGTCTGGTACAGAGATACCCTCCCCTACCTGAAGAATAGAAACTATTGCAATAATGTGTCCCATACACAATGTTCCTCAATTCCAAATAAAAGAAAGTTTATTATTTTCTTTGGACAGTTCTCTCCAATACAATACTGCAGATAGCTGATAGCTGCACTACACTTATCTAAGGAAAATAAACAAACTTACCTAAAGCACCTTCCCTACAGTATCGATTTGAAATATCTTAAGCACAACTCCCAAAGTTAACTACAAACAGCTACATAATTCAAATAGCAAACAGGTGGGGGCTTCCAAGTGACTTCAAATTTTTACAATGACAAATAGTTTTACATAGTTAACAAGAAGGCAAAAGGGTGCAAGTTTGCTAAGTCATTTTGAGCAAGCCACAAACTGAACACCACAGAGAGCCCATTTTATCATCTGTTCAATTTAAAATCATCATGTTTATAAAACCATAAAATTTATTTTATTTTGAGGAACAGGAAGACTTCTTTAGATACACAACTTTAGTACTTACGGGTAAAATGATTAGAAGTGGATGGATTGACACTATCACCACTGTCAGCACTTTCACTGCTAGAAATGTCATCATCTGATTCCCGCACAGAGGAACAAGGTGAGGAGCCATCGACTTCTTCAAACTTCCTCTTTAAAATTCCACTCATCGCTGCAATGCTGTCACATGCACCTGCAACAGGAACAGAGGCAATGAAGCACTGAAACATCCAACTGCAGAATATGCAGTCATAACCTCCAAAGTCATTTTTACTTAGAAGTACCAATAAGCTGCCACTTCTAGTCTTGAATAACCATTTACTATGAAATTAGATATAATTTATTAGAAGACAGTGAAGCTATAGGAAAGAAAAAAAACCATTGTAAGTCATACTCTAACTTGACACATATGGAGATAGTTATTTTGCTAGAATAATGTGTAACATTGCTTTCAGGGAGTATTTTTCCCATTTTGATGTCAATAGCATCCCTGATTTCTAGGTTATGTCGTGAAATTTCAATCAAGGAAAAAATGGGAGTTTCTCTTCAAATACCCTCACTTGGTGCCTTCCTTGGCTGCCACAGGAGGAAGGAATGTTCACAATTAGGGATGAAATTAAGTAAGAATAAATCATCCTGAATACTACAGTTCCCATTGCCAAATATATGGGATCTAATCAGTGTTCACATCACCCCTATAAGAAATCCATCTGATAACTCCAATATTAATGAATGATAAAAGACGAGGAATTCACAAAGACCATACATGAATTTAGTGCCCAATAAATGCCTGGAATTCAGAAATTCCCCACTCCAGTCAGAGACAACAATTGCCTCCGAAACTCTCTCCTTCCCACATTAAGAAATGAGATACCTGATATATTTCTGAGGTTGAACAGAAGATTATAAAGCAACGTATTCAAGCTGAAATTTAGCAGCAGAGGTAGAAATATAACATGAATTGCATGTAATTAATGAGAAAGTGTACCCTTAACTAACTGAGATCAGGAACAGCTGAAGATTGCTCAGAGGACACACAGCTGCCATCATGTTGCCCAAAGCACTGCAGAGACAAGCAATGGTGATATTTATCCAGGCAAAAAGTTTGTCTAGGATTGATGACGTGCTAGACTTGCCAAGGAGGACACAGAGCCTAGTGCTATGGACTTATCACAGGGTTCTGCCAAATCCCACTGAAAGCAAGGGGGGGGAAAAATAAAGGGAAAAAAAAAAAAAGAAATTTACATTCCTCACTGAAACAGAACCTTTTAAATCCCTGCAGCTACCTTTAGGACTCCAATTCTGAGACAGCTGCATTTTGTTCCATCCGGGAAGTTGGACTAGACAACCTCCAGAGCCCCCTTCCAACCAACACTTCTATGGTTATATGTTTAAAAGAAATGCAATAAATCTATCAGCAAGCTAACATATGCTGGGCTAAATGACTACTAGTAAAGACGACAAGGTTAAGGCAGAGACTGCAGTACTGGCCATACTGTTTAACAATTAGCACTTTTCAGTTTTGGCCCAGGCCACCTTGCACTCTCCTGGATAGCACAGGATGAAGGAGGTGCCAGAACGATTCCCAGCAGGCAGGCTGGATGAGGGCACCCAGGTTTTGGCAGAGGGCTGACAGCTTAGCCACTGTGGACAAGAACCGTACCCTGCCACTTGGCAGCAGAAGCCAGAGAAGACTGTCCTTAGCCTACATCTTTTTTATCTTTTTAATTAATATAGAGGTAGTCTCAGTGATGTGGCTGCTATGTTCTGACCCTGTAAGCACAGCACTTCAGTAGATCCTCTGGTATCTTTCCTCATACTTTGTCTAGTACCATGTAGTTTCAATGTCTACTATGCATCCTATAGCTCCCTTCAAGCCCCAACACCAGTTTTCTTCCTGGAAAAAACAAAGCGACAGTGTGAAGAGGTTTGCAACCAACTTAGTAGAACAGGGTAAGGGTGGGTGTATGAAGCCGAGAGCTACCAACAACAACAACAACAACAAATTAAAAATTGATGGGCTCACCAGGTTACAGAGTCTGCAGGACTAATTCAAAATCATAATTCAGCAAACATTCAAGTCTGTCTATAAGAAATCCTGGGACTGACTGAGGTGGCAAGAATATCTTTGTTTCATCCCAGTGCAACAGAAAGCAAGTTCTAATTACTTGTTTTGCTTTGCTGACAGAGCATTTTACATGGTCTGCAAGCTCCTAAGCACAGAAGGAGGAGTTATGGGCAGGTTTAAACTTGCCTTTGTAAGTCAAAACTACAAATTATGGAGACATCATACAACACTTTTATGATATTATTTAATTACAAGGACTAGAACAGAAGTTTTATAATACGGGAGTTCATTCACCTCTTAGGAAGCAAAAGCTCCGAGAAGCACATACACAACTGCGCCAAGTTTAATATCTTGTCTCCAGTAGTAGTCACTATTTAACGCTTCAGCGGAAAGCAATGGGATGAGAAATCCAGCCACAACCACTGCAAATACATGGCTCTGCTTCCTCATCCTTGCAGTCAATTTCCCCTAAGCATAAGGCTGAAATGGTGCTATACGACAGTGCACAGCTTCTTCTAAATTCATTTGATTTGCTCTCCTAAGGCAACAAGTTTCATATTAGTTTACTGGCGGGAAAAAAACCACAACAGAACACATCTCCCAAAACTACAGCCACAGACCCTTCAAAATCACAGCAGCTTCAGTCTCTATGATATTTTGGACAGTGAATAGCAGCAGAAACACGCCAGTGCCTAGCAGCATGCTGTACTAGATAGAACTCCACACATACAGGTACTCCCTACAACGTGGAAATAGCTGGAGAAATCACTGAGGTCTTCTTGCTGTTTTATAGTGATATTTCCGTTTCAATCACCAATAGCGATTATATTACCAGGGAGGTGCAGATCCTGTACGGAATTAGGAAATGCCTTTATACCTGGGGGGGCGTACAGGGAGGGGATGGTGACGGAGACGCAGATGGAACTGCAGCATCAAGTTACTCATCCCAAAACTGAAGAGTCTGTCCTACTGCTGCAGTTGCTGGAAAGCACCTGGCCCGTTACTGCCTACGCTCTGAATCTCACAGCTGTGCCACCCTTAAAAGCCTGGCTCTGGGGAACTCCCAAAGCAGCACAGCCTCTTGCTGACACTATTCCACTTTGAAGGTGGTAACTAAAGAGTTCATCAGCCAGAACAAGGAAGAGAAAGTGAGTAAAAAAACTGTGCAGGTATGAAAACATTTGTGTACTCAGTTACTATTCAAACAGATTCTTCCCAATTCTGAGTTAATGATTCCCAGAACAAGACATGGATTCCCACCAGAAGGTATCCAGCTCTTGAGAGTAACATACTGGGAGCACTGGTCCCTGATACAGCTGTCATCGGTCTTCTCTGGGAACTGGTGCCAGACTCTCTAGGGCCAGAACACAAAAGCCGGGGGAGTGATGTGCCATCTCGACAGGTACACACTGCCACATCACAGCCACACCTGCTCAGTCTACCCCCTGCAAGGGCACAGAGGCTCACAAATGGTTGATTACTGCCTGTTGATGGAGAAACAGCTGCTTTCAACTGAGAAACCAGTAACTTTTAAAGGACTCCAGCCCTTGTCTGAGACCAGTCCTCAGATCAAAACCCCTTTCTTAGAAGGCTCTGCCCATCTGTCACCAAGCTGTCCTCTTCAAAGGCATGTGAGCTTTTTCAGGGTCTCACTTTCTCCCTTTGAAGTTCCTCTAGCATAAAGGCTGCTTCTGCACATACCCAGAAGTCACAGAGATTTGAGATGCCTGAATAACTTCATGTCCAGGTCTCCCTGGGAGCCTGAAACTTCGTGCTCTTCCAAGCAAGGTGTCTGAGAACAATAGGAAAACGGAGTATGAGTGCACAGCATGTTGAGAAGGAAAAAAGGACGAAAGGTTGGGCCGGGACCAAACCCATGAGGGATTGTTTATGTACACAAAGGCTGGTAAATACAGTACAGCACTGGGCATGCCACCTGTGCACACTCTCTTTGGACTATGAATCTTGGCATTATTTTCTATACAGTGAAATGGTCTCCACCTAAGCTAAGGACTAGGGTGCTCTCCGCTAAGCTATAGCTTAGAGGCAGCAATTACTGAACAACAGATTCAGCTCTCCAGCATCCTGGTGACTTCCTCAGCTGTTAAACTACTGTGTAAATTACAAGAAACCCATTCAGCAGAAGATCTTTACAAGAAAGATGTTTTAAGAGGAAGAGTGACCTATGCTCTGTTCTTGAAAGGGATGGTTTATGCATCTGCCTTCAGGAGCAGGCACTGGACTGTGAAGCACAGGCAGCTTCGATAGCAGAGCTGTGGGTCCATGCTGAAATGTAACCACCCAGATGCTGGGGATTAAAACATTTAACTCTCAAGCATCTAACCCCTAATTGCCTTGCTTCTTATTTCATCAAGGGGACATGACTTAGGGACTAATCCTGAAACCTTACTCGGAAGCAAAAGACCTGTGGTCCTCAATGATCACAGCCTATCCTTACTAGAAGAAAAAAAAAGTATTTCTGCCTAAAGAGTGTCATTGGAAGGACACGGTATTTTACAGCCATCTCGACACTGCTAGGAAACACACGCTCCTCCCTACAGTATGTTACTGGACCTCTGCATCAGTGAACGAGCTCTGCTGGCACTGTGATTTTGCCTTGCCTTCCAACACAGTGGGATTCTGATCAATTCCAAAACACTTTACAAGGAAATGTTTAAAAAACAAAGCAGATGTATTAAATATTAGGATCTCTGGGGGTACGACAGCTTGGCTTGTTAATTTTCAAAATTATTTTTCTGAACATTAGTCCCTCTCTCCTTCAATAAAAGGCAACTGGATTCCTTTAATTTATCTTCTGGCCACCTTAAAATCAACTCTGCTCTCTTAACACCCTTAATTGCATCTTTAAAACATAAAGTTTGCATATCACAAATGTAACGTCAAGATTACAATTTAAATATTTAGTCAGAACTTCCCTATGAGGAAATACACGTTATACTACACAATGCTTGCTTTAACTGAGAACGCATTAACGCTTGGAATTTCAGTGACACAGTATTTAGTTGTAGCCTACACGCTTTCTTTCAAAAATACTTCCAGCCATTATAACTTCAAATGCAGAGGAAGTGAAGTGAAAGTGTC